TGCAAGATTATAAACCCGCAGATGTCTGAAGAAGACAGGGTCGGACACCTCTTGAAAGGCATAGCGGAAGATGTTTTACAATTTTCTGATAGGCAGGGATGACCTCACCTCAGTCTTCGACGTCCAACATGTTGCACGTTTGAAAAACTGAAAGCTCGTCGCATTGGCCCGAAATTTGGTAGGCTGGCAAATGTGACAACGATTGCCAGCGTCGACGTGAGCCTGCCCACTGACCTTGCCGCTACTATTCGGGCAATAGTGCGTGAAGAGCTGCAGCAACAAGGTGGTGGGGTTGATTAGTAGGTGGTCATCCACCTACTAATCCACCCTACTACACGGTGGCGCCATTAGCTCCTTTGCCACTATCGGTATGTGTGACAAGACATCAGCGAAACTGGAACTCCATGACCACGTCATGACTCATTCGCGGCCAACTAGTGATATGCCCAACGCCTTCGTCACAGCCCCGCCACACAGAGGTGGGCAGCCCCTGCTCAGCAAGCTCGTCACCGACCTTTCACAGCTGAGCGGTCTCAGGATTGGTTCGGCGAGTGTCGTCTAACCAGTCTGCTACAACTGTTGCTTCAAAGGCTACATTGCCAGGTGTTGCAACTACCGGCAGCCGCCAAAGGACGACCGATCACTGAGATAAAACCGTTCTGGCGTTACCCAAGCACCGACATTCCCGGGAAGCGCGTCTTATGAGATCCCAGGACTGCAACGAAATTCATCTCCGGTCTCTTGACGGCAGTGTGACAGCATCACATGCCCCTCCCGCCAACTGATCACCGTCTACTCGGCGCCGCCACTTCTCGCCTCCTACGAAAAACTAGGCAGCGCAGCTGTTGGAGGTGAGGTCGCCGGACAGTCTTCGATTTCAACAGATGTACCTCCGTTAGCTTCCATGTTTAGAAATAAGGTTAGAGTGCTTATCGATGGTACCAGCAATAGCGTTGGTGGACACAGGTGCAACCGTGTCAGTGATGAGTTTAGTTTTCACCCGCCTCCTTTGACGAAAAGTTATGCTTCGTTGGGACTATCCGGATACGTTTCGTGGAGTGAGCGGAGAGGTGTTACAACCTGTTGGTGTCTGCACTGTGACTGTTAGTTTGCCAGAATTTTGTTGCAGTTTTGCTGTTCTCCCTCATACTATGCATGCCATCATTATGGGACTCGATTTCTTGAAGCTACGTGGTGCCACTGTCGATTGCCGCTCAGGACAAATTACAGTAGATTTCGATACCCCAGTTGCGTTTATGGAAAACTCGCCCTGTCAGGAAAGTGCTCTTTGCATGTCCGTGGACACAACTGAGCCACCATTGTCTGCAAAATGTGTCCCTGTTGTCTGTTCACCTGCAAGCGAGAAAAGATTTGACACAATTGTGAAGCCCATGCATCTCAGTTGCATAAAGAAGACAGTTTTAATGGCCTACTGCACGCTATCGGTTGTGCAAGGGCATACTGGTTTATGGGTGATTAACTGCTCTGATGAACCTACAGTGCTGCCGGAGGGTCTAAAACTTGCAGAGATTCGTGAACACCAAGTGTTCTCGCTTGCCATTCTTGCAGAAAGCAGCGATTCCCCGGATAAGACCTGTTGCAATAATCTGCACGCCAGAGACACCACCATTATGGCTATACTGACAAGTCACTCGGCACTAAGGAACGCAATGAACTGGCGAGTATTCTGTGCAAACATGCCGGTATTTTTAATTTCGCTCAGCATGATCCACAGTCATTCCCTGCTTCTCATATAAAGCACCGAATTGACACGACATCTCACAGACCTCTCCGATAGAAACCATATCGTGTATCGCCTTCAGAACACGCACTGATCAACGAACAGGTTTGCGAGATGCTCACGAAAAATGTAATTCAAGAGTCATGTAGTCCGTGAGCAGCTCCAGTAATTCTAGTGAAGAAGAAGGATGGGACATGGCGATCTTATATTGACTACCGCCGTCTCAACGCCATCACTAAAAAAGACGTATACCCACTCCTGCAGACTGATGATGCTATCGACTGTCTATCATCAGCCTCTTACTTTTCGCCTGTGGATTTGAGGTCAGGCTACTGGCAAATTTCAATGCACGACGAAGACAAGGAGAAAACAGCATTTGTTAAAAGAGATGGACTATTTGAATTCAATATGATGCTGTTTGGACTCTGCAATGCGCGGCAACTTTTGAGCGCTTTATGGAGAGCATTCTGCGTGGATTGAAGTGGGAAGTTTGTATGTGTTATTTGGGTGACGTAATTTTTGCGCGCACCTTTTCTGAGCACAACACACGCCTTGGCCTTGTGCTGGACTGCCCAAGCAAAGCACGCTTGATGCTCAACTCAAAGAAATGCAGTTTTGGAGAGCGCCAAATACTCGTCCTTGGACACTTAGTAGACAAAGAAGGCATACGACCGGATCCCGTCAAGACGGCCGCAGTGGAGGCATTTAGACGGCCGCCGTGGAAGCATTTAAGCAACCTCACTTGGTGAAAGAACTGCGCAGCTTTTTGGGGCTTTGTTCATACTTTCGCCGATTCATTCCTGGCTTTACCAATATCGCATACCCACTCACGTGTCTGCTTCAGAAAGGTGCGCAATTTGACTGGGCCCCGGAATGTGAGTCTGCTTTTTCGGAGTTGAAGTTTCTTTTGACGTCTCATCCGATTCTTCGACACTTCAATCCTCTGGCTCCCACTGAGCTTCACACAGACGCCAGTGGTATTGGTGTAGATCTGTCCTGGTTCAACGCTTAGATAACCAAGAATAGGTCGTAGTGTATGCAAGTCGCTCGCTCAGCAAATCCGAGCGTAACTAAACTGTCACAGAGCAAGAATGCCTTGCAGTAGTCTTTGCAGTGCAATGCTTCCGGTCCTATCTGTACAGATGCCCCTTTACTGTCGTGACAGACCATCATTCTCTCTGCTAGTCGGTCAATCTGCGTGACCCGTCTGGTCGGCTGGTGCGCTGGGCACTTCGTCTACAAGAATATGACTTCACGGTTTCCTATAAAAGCGGCCGACGTCACGCTGACGCAGACTGTCTTTCGCAACTACCACTTCCAACGACGGAATGTGACGCGGACAACTTTGACACCTACATCGCATCACTGGACCAACCATTTCCTGATACCAAAGCCTTTAAGGATGAGCAACAAAGGGACAGCACCATACAGCAACTTCTTGCTACCAAACCAATATCATCGCCTACGCGCTTCTGCACCCGAGACGGGCTAGTTTACAAAAAAATAACTACACCAGCACCGGCTCACGATATCTTCTGGTGGTTCCGAAGAGTCTTCGCGTTTATGTCTTGCAGGCTATGCATATGACCCAACATTCTGTCATCTAGGCACAGCGAAAACACTTTGCCGTCTTCAAGAAAGATTATACTGGCTCAAAATGCGCCAAACGACGGAACAATATGTGTCTAGCTGTAACGAGTGTCAACGTCATAAGCGCCCAACAAGTGCTCCTTCAGGGCGATTACATCCGGTGCCACCCCCTAGAACTCCACACGAGCAAGTCGGGACTCACCTCCTTGAACCCTTTCTCCGGTAATTGCTGGATATTCGTCTGCACCGACCATTTAACACAAAACTGCGAGAGAGCTGCCATGCCATCAGCAACTGCAGCCGATGTGTCTTTCTTCATGCAACGTTTTATAATTCTTCGACATGGACCTCCCACAATTGTAATCAGTGACCGTGGCCTGCAATTCACAGCAGACGTGGTGGAAGAGATGCTTCGTGTCTGTGCTTCAAGGTTTCGGCACTCTACACCATATCATCCCCAAACGAACGGTGTAACTGAACGAACAGAACTCTCTCGAACATGCTGTCTATCTATGTCGCATCAGATCACAAGGACTGGGACAGTATTCTACCTTTTATCACATATTCATTCAACACCGCACAGCATGAAACTACCAGCTACAGTCCTTTGTTTCTTCTCTATGCTCAACCACCTCGTCCTACCCTGAATACTATCTTCCCGTATTTGGACCACCATGATCCCTGCTTAGCTGAGATCATCTGTCGGGCTGAAGAAGCTAGACGCCTTGCTTGTTTGCGCACTCTTGCATCGCAAGATCACTCAAAGGCACATTTTGGCCACCGATGCCGACACGTGACGTACAATCGCGGCGACCTAGTGTTGCTGTGGACACCAACTAGGAAACGGGGTTTGAGCAAGAAACTGCTAGTGCACTATGCGGGACCTTATCTTGTTGTAGATCGTATCAGTGATTTAGTTTACCGCATAGCGTGTCTCCATTCAAACGGCCAACAGTCTGCAAAAACTGAACTTGTACATGTTGCACGTTTGAAGTGCTTTATTCCTCGAGAGACTGTTTGAATCGCCCAGTGGGCTTCGTCTGCGTGGAGTGAAATGTTACCACATATGTAATTTAGGTATGTGCACCTTTGTAGCGGGGAACAGGGTGGTGGCAAAAGAAGAGGACGTTCGGTTGATGGCAAGGGCTCGCCAGTGTGCGTTCACTGCCGTATACCGTCGAGTCGACCGTTACGTCGGCTCTGAATAAACCCCTCTTGTAGTTGTAACAATATCATTAGGTGGAAACTGCTGAAGCAAGGACTGCAGCCTTCCACCCTTATATTTGGTGGGAACGGCATTGTCGACGGCACCGCTTTCTCTGCACATCTTGAACTTCAAGTCATTGCGGCTTTTGAAATTTCGAAGCTATCTATCGCTGAACTTGAAGTCCTTCACGCCCATTTGAAGCGCGAAAACCTCCGCCTTCTGCTTCAGGATGTCGCCTGACAACGGGTATTTTTCAGTGATGGTACTGAGCCACACGATGAGCGCTTCCTCGAGCTTCAGGTGAACGCCCTGGCTTGCATTCTTCTTTCCAGCCCCAGTTGATTTGGCAGCTACTTCCAAGATTTTCGTCTTAATTTGATGAAGTCCGAAACAGTTTGCTTCGAAACTCCCAACTCCCTCCCCACCTCTGCCTGCGACCGATTGCGTTGGACCCGTTCAATGATGGCGGCTATCTTCTCCATCGTGAGCCAACTAGGGGGCTTTGTGCACTTCGAAGGTGCGGAGGAAGACGAAGGAGCAGTCAGAGCCATCGCTGTAAACGGCGAATCTGCTCAACGAAAAGTGCAGCACGAAACAGCTAGGAACTCGGCGTATGCTGAAGGTCGGAAACATAATCACTGAAGATAGTGCGCAGCAGCAAATGATCAACTTCTTTCCAGCCCCAGTTGATTTGGCAGCTACTTCCAAGATTTTCGTCTTAATTTGATGAAGTCCGAAACAGTTTGCTTCGAAACTCCCAACTCCCTCCCCACCTCTGCCTGCGACCGATTGCGTTGGACCCGTTCAATGATGGCGGCTATCTTCTCCATCGTGAGCCAACTAGGGGGCTTTGTGCACTTCGAAGGTGCGGAGGAAGACGAAGGAGCAGTCAGAGCCATCGCTGTAAACGGCGAATCTGCTCAACGAAAAGTGCAGCACGAAACAGCTAGGAACTCGGCGTATGCTGAAGGTCGGAAACATAATCACTGAAGATAGTGCGCAGCAGCAAATGATCAATCGCAGACATGATCGCAGAGCTGAGAAAACAACACATGAACGAACACAACGAGGTTTGGCTTGGCTAAGCCGGTAAGCTACGGCTGGCAACGGATTGACATGTGCGGTTTTGAGGTTACAGCAGCCGCGGCGAGGTGCAGTGGTTGGTGGTGGTGCTGCTGGCCATACCTGCAATGCGAGTATGGCGGGTTCGAGGATGTAAAAACAACCAAAATGGCGGCGTTGGTGGTGACTTTAGACCGGCGGTTAAAAGTAAAAAGTCTGGGAAATCTGGTGCTAAGGCTATAAGCGTCTGGAGTGTCGGACTTTTTAATACATTGACTCAGAGTCAATGAGGAACTTGACGGTGTCACAGATGAGTTCAAAAAATCAGGCATCCGAGAAATCGAACGTCGACTGTATGGGATGGACATCATTCGAAGCTAGCAGTAGGATAAAATTTGAGGAGCGATTGAGAGAATTGCGAGAGGAGCGCTGTGCTAGAAGGTTTTCAGCTATTTGTGCATGAGGGGTGTTGATACAAAATGGAGGAAGCGAACCAGAAAATCGACGGGTAAATACCTAGAAAACAGCAGGGGGCCAAACCAAAAAATAAACTATCGGTTAAAAAGAGGGTGAAGGAAACGGAGACCGACATGTGGAGAATAGGCATGATTAAAAAGTCGGTACTAGATATATATCGAACTTTTAACCTGGAAATTGCGAAGGAAGGGATCTACGATAATTCTGGGGGGTAGCTCTCTACTGTTTGAGGCTAGGACGGGAGTATTGCGAACCAGGACTTATCGGGCCAAATATGAAAGGGTAGACACTGCATGCAGTGTGTGTGGAGAAGAGGAGGAAACTGCTGATCACTTGATATTGTTTTGTAAAGGGCTTCATTTTATAGTTCAGGATGATGGCGCAGAGTTTTTAAATGCACGGGGGGTTTAGAGACAGGAAGGGCATAATAAAATTTAAGCGGATAGAAATAACTAGAAGGAGGTTATCTAATTGGTGGCTACAATCAAGACACGAGTGAAAATTGAATCCCTCGCTGCAAAGTTCCAGTCCTTCACTAATTTAAGGAAAGAAAATGATGAATTTTAGTTTTTGTTCACTGAGTATTACGGCTAGGTGGCATTAGCCACCGTCTGATCTTAAGGGTACAGCCATATCAGTTCATACATTCATCCATATTCGCACTTGCACCTGCTTGCACCGCGTCCTGCGAAGGTGTAACCTCACTCATCCTCCCTATTTTGTGACAGTCATATTCTTCCATCATTTGGTATGCAATACTGCTGTTATGAAGAAGCTACTGAGTCTATTCCTGACCATCTGGGTGTAGTTCTTAGTATCTAGGTAGAAATTATGCTCAGACATTTTTGGAAACCTCTTTTCTGCAAAGTCCTCAGTTTGTCACATCTTGAAACATCTGACTGATAAATTGTCTATATGTGACTAGTTACAAAGAATGTTTACTTATAACTGTGGGATTCACATGATACCTGCATATAGGTAGCGGGAATAAATACATACGTCACTACACGCAAATAAAAACGCTCAGTATATGTTTATAAAAACAACCATTACTGATCATTGTCCGATTCACAATATACCCAGATATATGTCGTGGAAATAAATCCGTCCCAACGCGCTAATAAATATGCACAGTATATCTTTATAAATAAAATACACATTAACCTCAGCTACTTAGTTGATTCTGAATTTAGAGCCAGTACATTATAATTATTCCCAATGACGTTAATAATGCAATGTTTAGTTCTCGTACTAGTGAGATCAAGATGAGGATATTCTGCTTCCTTAATTGCTTCGATCAGACCGCCAAACACACCGTGTGCATCGAATGGAGAACATGTACGGAGGAACCACCTACATGTAACATGTAAATGAACAATTGTTGGGCTAATTATAGTTGTGTATGATTGGCTTCGACATATTACCGCAAGCCTCAGGGTGCTATACTGGGCCTGTGCCCCCCCCCCCCCCCTACTATTTTTTCTGTCATGGCACGTGCAAGAAAATTCCCTCCCTGAAATTAAGCCCCCCCCCCCCCCCCGAAAAAAAAATTCTGGCTACGCGCTTGCCTGCCGCAAGCATATCAGATATTGCTTCACCTCATGCAGAGAACATCGGTCTAACTACGAACATATTGTAGCGAAACTTCGGGGTTGTCTAAGCTAGACACATCTGAAGACCGTCGAGACAAAAAAGCGTGGGAGCAATTCCGCACAGGCAAGCGATGACAGGTGGACACGATGTCTGGGAGCACTCATTGGGGGTTTATTTATATAATACAACTTAAATTTCCACTATGCACTAAGTAAATACGAAACATGGAAAATGATGGCATACCCCTCGGCTTGCCTGACTGGTCTGGTGGTAAGATGCGCTGTTGACCCCAAGTCCGCTCACTCCAAAAAGGACCCGAGTAGCTGGTTAAATAGGGTTTTCCAGTATCCACGGGTGCGTAGACCAATCGGGCAAGCCGAGAATAACCAATGCCAACACGAGTTTTCATGGTCGCGTGAAGCCTGCCTCCCAACAAAACTGTAGCAGGTTTTTGAAACGGGCACATTCTCTAAAACGGCTTTGACGCGCAAGCAAGTGCTTAAATGTCGCTCCCTGATTGCCCGGAGGAGGCGAGCGGCGGCTCGCTCGTTTTGGGTGGTGGTGATAGTGGTTAGAAGAGGAGAAAGGTGCCTAATTTCTGCAGCTCGGTCGGGAGGACGGTGCAGTGCCTGGTTTGAAGCGAAGCGGGCACAGTGACCGACCGGATGCAGCTTTTTCTGTTCAGACTCTCATTCTTTCTGGAGGCGCCCTCCTCGAGACAAGTCGTTAAATAGCGCTTCTAACAAGAGCATCTGACAAAGAACAAACTTCAGCTGTAGCTGAAAAAGAAAAATCTTTTTGTGAGACATTGCCTTCGCGACAATATACTGATGTGGAGTTTTTTTTTTTTTTTAGAGAACCTGAGAAAAAAGTAGTTCTTTGCTATGGACAATATCGTTAGGCTTCCTCCAATAATTTTTTACCAGTGCACCTATGTCTTCAAAATACATACCTCAGAATCTAAATATAGCCCACTATCGTCAATATTCAGGGGTAAATTTGGATATTAGTGGGTTTGAATTAACCCGTAAAAACAGTAAATCTCAGTGAATGAACGATATAGATGCAATGCAACACTTCGTCATTAATAATATGTGTGGTTTTACGTCCCAAAACAACTATATTGCTACGTAGCTGAAATATCAGCGGTCAAAAGACGACAAGGAAGAAGTGGTCTGTCGGTTGTGCGTGCTGTCCTCTATCTTAGTCCATGCTATACCCATCAGTGTCAATATAGATTCTAAATAGACATGCCTCGTGTCATTTTTACGTAACATCTTTGTGGCAGAGGTGCTGGGTACTTTCCTGTCTTAATCACGAAGGTCCGCAACAGCCACATCATTATAGTTCCAGCCATGTCACAGGTTGAACAACCATCGTCTTCACCACCCGCCCCTTCCGTGACTTCTACGTACGTTGTTCTGCCTCCTGCTCGTGCTATGAACGATATAGATGCAATCCTACTTTTCGTTATTAATCATATGTGTGGTTTTTCGTCCCAAAGGCACTATACGAATATGAGAAATGCCGTAGTGGAGGGCTCTGGAAATTTACACCATCTCGTATTCTTTAATGAGCGCTGTGGGTCAGCAGTCGAGCACCCTAGCCACTCTTCCACCGAGGGCGCCATTCTTTATAATAACATAAATAATAATAGTAATATTTACGTGCCAAATCCACGATATGATATTGGCCATTTAAAATGGCTAGGATATTTTCAACCTTCTGGAGTTCTTTATCGTGCAGTGACATCGCATAGTACACGGGCTTTAGCCGCACGAATGGGATAGCCTTGTTTGCTGCATTCATCATAAGTCTTGCACTAATATGTGTCACTCAGTTATCGGCCACTAATCCACCTAAAGTGATGCAGCCTTTTCAAGAGAGCATGACAAAGCACTGATCAGAAACACACAATACTACCGACGCAGATAGAGCATTGTAGCTGAAGGAAGCATTGGCAGAAACACCTGTGTCGCCGATAGCTAGCACCACAGCCGATGGGGCGGGTGGAAAGGGAACTAGCGCTCTCACAGGCGAAGAGGAGCATTCGGCGGGCCGTACCAAAGGAGATTGAGCGGGCGTGGTACTGTAAAAGACTGGAGAGACGCAAGGGCACATTTTTTCATATAGTGGCATACCCGCTGCGCATAGCACTGCCTTGTTTGGCTTTGGAGATTTTCGGGCGTACTGAAATTCGTGGTTTTGTCAAAAGGGTAGCCTGGGGGTCTTTAAAGGGAAGAAAAAGTGCATATCAATTTTACATAGCTACTGGGGTGATGCAAGCACTGAGTAAATGAAGCAACAGCCTCCTACTAAAACTGTGTATGATGCACATGGGCTTTGCTTCACATGTGCAAGTGGTCTGAAATGTTGTTTGCATTCATCGATGCATAGCAAACAAAGCTCTAATTACTCTGTTTGATGACATTTTATGTTTATCTGCGGTTTCCTTTGTCTTTTTATTAGGATGTTCAGCAGAAAAGCCAATCATTGCCCAATTAAAAAAGTCGAGCAAGCTATTTCTGCAGGATTCGTCGTGTTATGATGTTGCTCCAAAGCTGTCCATGTGTAGAGAGTGTAGGATGATGTCAGACCAGAGGGACAAGAAAATGCCAAACATTTTCTGTCGCTTCTACGCATTCAGAAAGTAAGTTGCAGTGACATCAAAGTGTTGTTAAAGAATAGATAATTTTTAAGTTGCTCATTTGGCACACTTTTACTTCCAGGCTACGCTTTGGCAAGAATGGCACTGTGCTCAGTGGTGGCTTCTCGGAACCAAGTGATGCTTCAGAAGAAGATTTAAAGCTGTGGCTGCCTCCATTGGATCATACACCTAAAGACTTGGATGTTAACACCGCAAATATCATACTGTCCCATGTGGGCGAGCAGTTTTGTGATCTCGTGGAGCAAGAGAGGGAAGCGCAGTCTCTACACATGGGCGAAGATAAGACCATATCGTGGAAGCGCGTTGTGCAAAGTGTGCTTGAAATGTGTGATGTCTGTGAGACAACTCTCTTCAACATTCACTGGGTGTGTCGCAAGTGCGGTTTTGTGGTGTGTGTAGACTGCTACAAGGCAAAGAAGAATGGCATAGTGAAAGGTTGGTAATTTATACCATGGTTCCATATTTTATTACTTATACTGTTTTGCCTTTTCAGCTGAGGACACACCCCCGAAAGACAGAGATGAGTTCCAGTGGCTCCTGTGTGCCAACCGACAGCCACATGAGCAGAATAAACTGATGATGACACAAATAATACCTAGCAAGGCTTTTTGCAACGTCAGCGAGAGCCTGCACTTGAGACGCCCGGAGAGGAAGAATGACTACGAGACAAGCTCCTATATTACGCATATGAAAGTGGGTTATAATAATAATTACTACTAAAAATAGATATCTTATAAAAATTAGCTCAAGTGTTGTAATACTGTGCTGTCTTTGTGCAAGTTTGTGTTCCATCTTTGAGAACATGCTTGGCTGTACTTGGTAGCCATGAAAGCAGGCAGTTCTTCGTAAGGTTACAGGTTGAATCCTTGCTAAAAGGTGCTTGTTTACGTGCGTGTACTGTTGTTCAAGGGGAGACACGGGTCTTGGAGCAATCAATAATGGCCAAAAAGAGACTTTTTTGCAGAGCCTATTTTAAGTGCGTTTGCACTTCTGAGCACCTGCTCTCAAATTATCAACGCTAAGTTTGGTTGGGAAACGTGATAAAATGGGCCTCCAAAGCGCTAAGGCAGCAGTGAAATGCCCCGAAAAGAACAAACTTTGTTCAAACATTGCGCGCGCCATCAGTGTTGCACAGGGCCGAGCGCCGCCTTCTTAAAGCGAGATTTGAAGCAGTTTCCCTTAGTATAACTAATTGAAAAACATTGAAACCAATTGCATTTTTGAATACAGGAGGAAGAAACCCATATACATACATAATTTCATTACAGTATCTTGTAACTAAAGTTGATATTTAACACCAGTGTCTCCCCTTAAAACAGTGGTCACCCTGCATCGAAATAGACTTCCAGAGCCAATTTTGAAGTTCTTTTCTCCTTTTTCTAGTATCTTTCAGAGTGATGATGTAAAGCTGTTAGATAATATTATTATGTTGCTCCTTGATCTTGTGTTTTTGCAGCAACTCATGAGTTACGTCAAGAAGAGCTTCTCTGAGGAGAGCAGTGCAGTCAGCGATAAAACGGGGAGTGCTGGAAAATGCCAAAAGCAAGCTGTGAATGACGGCGCCAAAACGTCCTCTGGTGCTGTAGGTGGCAGCTATAGGGGGTGTAACGGAGGCTCTCCATTGTCGGTCTTGGAAGATGTAGCACTGCATTCCTCTACCAGATTTGATGACAAAAGGGATCAGCAGCAGGCGAGTGAAGCTGGTGATGACGAGAAGGGTGAAGACTTTTCCGCACTGCGAGAACTCCTCATCCGCCCTACTGGTGGCAGTGCTAAGAGCCAGTTGGATGAAGTAGTAGCAACAGCAGTACAGCATTTGGTGGGCAAGAAAGATGAACAGCATCTGGAGCATTTCCCCCGACGCTTTCCCAGCCCACGAAAAGGCGGTAAAGTCTTGCCTGTACGTGTCTGCAGCCTAGCCGAGACTTCACTGCTTTACCCCAAGGTTTCCCATTCGTGGCTCCGCGATGGAAAGTTGCTTGAACATGATGATCCAAGAAACAAGCACAACTTGGCCATATTCCAGGAGCAGTGGAAGCGAGGCCAGGTTAGTGCATGTGGTGCATTCTCTACATTGAGCGTATTATTCAGCATGCTTTCTGAAGATTACTGCATACATGCCAACTCTCCCATTCACCCCAGAGACTCGTCATTGCACGGGCATGGCGCCATCAGTGTTGCACAGGGCCGAGCGCCGCCTTCCTAAAGCGAGATCTGAAGCAGTTTCCCATACTATAACTAATTGAAAAACATTAAAACCAATGGCATTTTTGAATACAGGAGGAAGAAACCCATATACATACATAATTTCATTACAGTATCTTGTAACTAAAGTTGATATTTAACACCAGTGTCTCCCCTTAAAACAGTGGTCACCCTGCATCGAAATAGACTTCCAGAGCCAATTTTGAAGTTCTTTTCTCCTTTTTCTAGTATCTTTCAGAGTGATGATGTAAAGCTGTTAGATAATATTATTATGTTGCTCCTTGATCTTGTGTTTTTGCAGCAACTCATGAGTTCCGTCAAGAAGAGCTTCTCTGAGGAGAGCAGTGGAGTCAGCGATGAAACGGGGAGTGCTGGAAAATGCCAAAAGCAAGCTGTGAATGACGGCGCCAAAACGTCCTCTGGTGCAGGTGACAGCTATAGGTGGTATGACGGAGGCTCTCGACTGTCGGACTTCGCAGATGTAGCACTGCTCTCCTCTAGCAGAATTGATGACAAAAGTGATCAGCAGCAGGCGAGTGAAGCTGGTGATGACGAGAAGGGTGAAGACTTTTCCACACTGCCAAACCTCCCATTCACCCTGGAGACTCGTCATTGCACGGGCATGGTTATACATTTTCTGGAAAACTGCTCTGACCCCACAGCTTTCCAGAGGCACTGCGGTATTCCTCGTACAGAATTAAAAGGTGATAGAGTGCCTTTGATTGTGCCTTTTAATCTATGTAAAAATACAGTGGTGTTTTTGTTATTTACAGTTTGGGGTGTTTCTTTTTTTTTTTTATCTTGATCAGGAAGTTGCCATAACGTAAAAAGACCGGAATTTTCTTTTCTCTATTGAACTGCAGAGTGCCCAATAGCCATGCAGCTACTGTTATGCGGTAGTACGTGGTAGTGTCTTCATGCATAAAAAGTGTCATATGCATACTCTTCCTTTGCAGTGTTTCGCAGTGTACAAGGCACCAGGAGCAGTGTTTAACTTAGTTTGTATGGATTCCTAAAGTCCTTATAATACCCTTCAATATTAACGTGCAACAAGATTCCTTGATGGTTATAGAATTTTTTCATCCTTCAAACATTTAATTTTGGGAGCTGTGCATCACCGAACACACATCGGTAGGGTTTACCAACTATAGTAGAAGATGCGAGACTCAAGGAGGGCGCGCAAATACTCGTAAATCGCGAAATTTTCCGTCGTCAGTACAACTAGCAAAATCAATTTCTGTCAAAAGAACTCGCACAGGTCTTCATGGAACATGTGTGAACGGACGGGAGAGCACAGCTGCTGTCGGGAAAGCACGGGTCGAAGCTTCGCTTGAGGCCAACTGAATACTGAATGCCAAAGTAGTGCCATAGTACGCAGACCGACAGCAACATTACTAGATCCCTCAGACAGAAACTTTAAAAAGCTTCTGGCCTTTTTTAGATCTTTATTGCCATTAGTTTACTGCTGCATTAGCCCTGTGCCCTCCGCTAATAGTCTCTATTGATGATGGCTACATTGTGAGCGCAGTTTTCTGCCCAGCGATTTTGGAAAATGGTAGTTTTGTTTTGAATCCATGTCCGCTGCCAGAGCATGTGCTTCTAAACGGTCATTTTTTGTTATTTATGATTGTATCTGCTGCCGTTTTGTCAGCCTCGTTTGTTTAAAGCGACGTTGTTGCTTTGACTAGTTGAGCATTGGACGCGTGTGAGATTTCGGAGTTCTGGTTCGTGCAGTTTTCTCAAAATGCGTTTTATTTCATAGATATCAATTACCCCTTTTTACGAGACTGGGCGTAAAAGACACTGTGGGTAGACGGGATAAGCACTGGTTATTGAAGGTAACTGACTGGATTCTAAGAGAAGGCAAATGTGTGAGGGGGAAGCGGACAATTAGGTGGGCAGATGAGATATAAGTTTGCAAGTATAACGCATATCCAAGAGCCACCAAATTTGCATTGAAACTGGGATTGATAAGAAAACGTGTACATATATACCCTGCTAATGAGAGACGCTTCATATAAAAGTCAAGCATTGCTTTTCTGTAGATCTGTCTATGAAGGGGTTCAGTTTTAGAAAGAAAAATGGTTTGTTAATGCAATGAAATTGCATGTGCTAGTCATAATTGTAGCATTTCTTGTTTTGCTTGCCATGATTATTGCTGCTCTTTGATTCATCAACAGTAAGACTGGTGCTACTTCAAGGTAATCTTGACATATGCTTGAAGAATCAAAGAGGTCGCTCTAGGTCTTGCTTCTATGGAACACTGAAGTGAATGTGTTCTGCCATTCACTTTTAAACGCATTCAAAATACACAATGAGCATGCATGTGCAAACTTGACTTTTTTGCGGTTGTGTAGTGTGGTTGACAGCTATCGTTATCAGCCTCGCTTTTAAGAAGCTGCTTGCACAATATCTGAACAAATTAGTGTTAGATATAGAAGGGATTCTGTAAGTGTTACACATCATAAATTTAGTATTCTTTATCGTTTATGCTTTCTATTGAAGCTTCGTAATAGTTATTATGTTACATAAGATAAAATGCAATGTTTTGCAGTATTGCAGTCCTTGAAGGTAATATTCGGAATATGGTAATAATGGTAAATCAAATTGCTTTATGCTTCTTTTGCAGCCTGTGCTGGTCACTGACGTTTGCAAGAACTTGAATATGTCATTGTGGCACCCCGACGGTTTTTGCCGAGATTTTGGTGAAGTACGAAATGACCTGGTGAATTGCCGAAATGGCAGCATCCTTCCAAACCAGCCAATGCGGAAGTTTTGGGAAGGCTTTGAGAACTTAAGCAAGCGCATGAAAGATAAAAATGGAGAATTTATGCTGCTGAAGCTGAAGGACTGGCCACCTTGTGACGATTTCAGCGACATGCTGCCCAGCAGGTTCAATGATCTCATGAAGGTGTTGCCACTACCAGAGTACACTCACCGGGATGGAGTTTTCAACTTGGTTGGGCGGCTGCCAGAATGTTTTGTCAGGCCGGACCTTGGGCCTAAGATGTACAGTGCCTATGGTACGTTCATTCCCTTTTTTTACTGCTTTGTTCTATCACCATAGTGTGTGTATGTGTGAAGCCACTGAAGAAGGGGTTTAACAGAAGACTTGGCACATAGTAAGCACAAAACTATCCTCACTGTACCATAATTTGGAAATAGCACTTGGGTCTTATCTTCACAAGCTTGGTACCTATATATTTTCACCCATGGTGAACACTCGTGTGCCTTGTGAGTGCAGCTTTGCTAAGAAAGAAGTAAATGCTAACTGTATACAATTTTGATCAAACCTTCCTCAAAACTGGCAGACTACCACTTTTTTTTCTACATTCAAAACAACAGGTCTGAGTATTTCCTCAGCGCATGTCTTCGCTGCTTATAGAACTGCAGCATGCAAAAAAAGTTCAAATGCCTGAAATAGGCAGTAGCACCAGATGCGCACCACAACTTGATATGACCGTCACAACCTCGTGGCGTTTCCACTTTTAGCTGACACTAACTATAAATGTACAGTTTCTCCAATTGTGGCATTAGATGCACAGTGTCTTGAAGTAAGGCGTAGCCATCATAGCAAGAACCCTGCAGCCACACTATCTATAATGATACATAGCTAACAAGTGAATAATCATCACAAACAGGAACAGAAAAAGCAACTTCTTGGTTTATTTCAGTGCAGTAATATGTGAATCAGATTGAGTCAGGCATTGCAACAGTAACTCAAATTATTTCTTTTAAAATTTGGCTGTGTGTGACTAGTCTTATCTTGCTTCCAGCTGTAACGTATCACCGATGCAGGGACACTCTGAACAAAAGCTTGTTGACAATGTTGCAGTGGCAGTCTGTTCGAGGTCTGTCAGTGATCTCAAGCATGGGAACATTACGTACTGATAACTGTACTGGGCAGGAGTGAGCGAATGGGAGATAGTTGCAAGTGAAGCGTGTGGCTTCTATTTTAGTTGGTACAATCTTGAGGGGTTGGGCAGTGGCAAAGCTGGTAAAAGGTAGTACAAGTATTTTATCTTGCAAGTGAATTGCATGCAATTCCAAAGGCTCATTGAACCGTTTGTGTCATGAGACTCTCACTGCTGGAATGTGCAAATCTGGCGATTCAATGCTGCTGCTCATGTAAAAAAAAAAAAAAAAAACCTGAAGAACTCGATGCATTTGATCACTTAGTTTGCTTTGATGATCATGCCAGCATTTTAAAAATTTGTGTTCACTGCCATCAAGTGAGATGTATCCGTGCAAGCCATTCCATGCTGCTTCTGACGTAAAAAAAAAAAAAAGAAGACCTGAAGAACTCAACGCATTTGATCACTTTTTTTGCACTGTTGATCATGCCAGCGTTTTAAAAGCTTGTGCTTCTTGCCATCAAGTGGGATGTATCCGTACAAGCCGACACCATGCTCATTAAACATAAGTTGAAATGTGTTGTTAAGCAGGCGGCCAAGAAATGCACTCCTTTATAGCTGTTGCGTTACTGTGGCTGTCAGGGCTTCAGCTGCCCTGAGATTAGTAATTCATTGCAAAAAAACAGCAAGAATTGACTGCACAACAAAGTAGTTGGATTGGTACTTGGCCCGTTCGTTTGCATTATTTTGTGCCAGGAAGCTATACCAGATCATATTCTCGAAATTCAAACTACTTCACGAATTCTACATGAATTGTACATTTTTATATTAGACTGCAAAGTCACTGAAAGTAATATTTACGCTGTTCTCTTTCTAAGCACACAATAGCGTCTAGACCTCTTTGCAAATAGAACTGTGGAGTGAAACATTGTTCTTGTCTACTTTTTTTTTTTGCTTTCTCTTTCAAACTAGCAACTTTTCAGTTGTTTTGCCCTGTGGCCTTACCTTGCATTGTTTCTGTACTTGCAGGCTCTGCGCTTTACCCGAATAAACACACTACCAACCTACATGTGGATGTCAGCGATGCTGTGAATATTATGGTTTATCTTGGAATTCCTAAGGATCAGAAGCATGAAGAAGTCATCAAGGGTACTCATGCCAGTTTTGTTGATTTTATTATAAGATTCCAGTCCATTAAGTGCCTGCTACAGACGAACCTTTTTATAAGAGACACTGATGCAAGAGACAATTGGGTATAGGAGACACCAGTACACTTACAGTAAAATACAGGTTGAAAAAAAAAAATCATATGAAGTACCCTGCTTATAAGAGACACCTCATATAAAAGACAAGAATGTCTGCCCGGAGTGTGTTTCTTATAAAGGGGTTCAACTGTATAGTTATTGGCAACATTACTAACAAACATACCTTCCACTTTTTTCAGCTGCACTGAACGCAATTGATGAAGGCGCATGTGATGTCCTGACACGAAAGAGGATGAGAGAAAAGAATGCGAAACCAGGTGCTCTTTGGCACATCTACCATGCCCGTGATGCTGACAAGATCAGAGATTTTCTTAAGAAGGCAAGTCTTGCCTCCATGCTTACACGATTACCACTTCGTGTTTAATTTGTTTTTGCTAATGCAAAGCGTATTGTGTTTAGAAGCAGCTTTTGTACTGTGTTCTACTGTTGCTTCTAGTAACTATAGTGGTGCCACTATCATGTGCTGTAGTGGCGTAGTGGTTACAGTGCTCAACTACCAACGCCAAAGGTCACGGGTTGGATGCCAGCTGCGGCGGTCGCATTTTCATGGAGTGGAACGCTGAAAGCTTGTGTACTGTGCAATGTCAGTGCATGCTAAAGAACAGCAGATGGTCGTAATTGCTAGATCGCGTGCTTTGCACAGTTGACGTCCAATTTCCCGGACCCTTAAATGACCGCGAAAGTGTCCGGAAAATGAAGGAAAGTGAAGACACTTTTTTAATAGGTATTTTTCGATGACTGAGGAGGTCAAGGCAGGAATACAGGATTTTCATTGCAGTTCAGCAAATAGAACGCTTGGGTGGCTTTCAAAAAAGCCGTTTATGAGGTCTGTTAGGAAAGTATCCGACCTTTTTTTTTTTTTTTTTTGTGGGCACCTGATGGATTTAAAACAACTGCGCTTGCATCAGCCGACTTTGAACTTTTGTGCGCACATGTTAATTTTTCCCGCCTGCGAGTACCGTCAGTCGCCGAGACGCACCATTTCAGTTAGGTAGTGTGCTGTGCTCTCGTCGATTTTTCGTTGCAAGGAAAATGACGGATTGACTGGAGCGGTACCCTGCATCAAATTTTGCTAGAAACTTGGTGACAGCCAAGTGTAAATCATTCGAAAGAGCAAGGTGGCTTTCACTGACGATGCTATGAGCTGCGCACAGAATTACGAGTGGTACAACCGGTTCTAAGACGGGCGCACATGGTGGGGAGCAAACTATACGGTTCAGTCAGCCATGACTGGTCATGACCAGTCTGAAATGAAGTTAACGGTGGTGGTGTGGGACCGTCGTGCAACTATCCGGGAAATAGGGAAGAGGTGGGCATCAGCACTTTCTCTGCACATTCCAATATGACCGAAGATTGCGTCGTGAAGAGAGTTTTAGCGATATTGTCAAAACTGCTCTTGGTGGAGCAAAAGCAGCTTCTTGTTGAAGTCTCACAGGACATGCTGGATTTCACAAGCTGTGACCCTAACTTCATGAACACCATTATCACTAAGGACAAGACTTGAGTGTACGGATACGACCCGGAAACGAAATCCTAGTCATCACAGTGGAAGCATTCCACGCCACCAAGACCAAAGGAGGTTGCTGCCCACAAAGTGTGCAGCAAAGTCAAAGTGATGTTGAGTGCTTTCTGTGACTCCCCCGGTGTGGAACTCCACGAGTACGCAGCACAGGGTCAAGCACTCACCAAAGAGTACTACAAAGATGTCCTCCGAAGCCTACGTTGGGCTGTGCGATGCAAGAGACCTGAGTTGTAGTCAATAGGAAACTCGCGCATCCATCACGAGAAATCAATGCTCCTGCACATTTGTTACACTTGGTGAAAACTTTTCTGGCGAAAAGTCAGACTCCTGTAGTTCAACAGGCTCCTTACTCTCCTTATATGGCCCCCTGCGACTTCTGGCTGTATCCCAAACTCAACAGGACATTGAAAGGAGTGCAATTTCAGGCTGTAACAATAAGCTAAACTCTATGGTTTCCGAAAGAGGTCTTCTCAGAATGCTTCCAACAATCGCAGCAATGCTGGGAGAAGTGTGCGGAGTCTCAAGGGGAGTACGTTGAGGGGGATTAGGTTTCCAACGCTCCAATTATACCAGTTTTGTTTCTTTTGCCAAAAGACGGATAGTTTTCTAACAGACCTCATGTAATAAAAATACGATGTGGCTGGCTCTATTGCATTTGTAAACACTTAGGTGCAAAACAAGGCAAAAATCGTTTTTACTGTGTTCCACTTGCAAGTGATTATGCCTCGATTTCAGCCAACATCATGCTGTTGTGTTCGCAGATGACAGTGCTCACGTCAACCCCGAGCATCTTGGCTGCGTAGGCGCTGTCTCTTCGATCTCCTTGTCGGAGTCATTGGAATACTGCGTAAATTGACGAATGATTTTGTCATCAGTCAATTTCGCACAAAGCACGAGGTTTTTGTCAGCTATGACGAAGCCCTCAAACGCTATCTTGGCTGGAATCAAAACACCAGCAGCTGGCAGATCGTTGAAGGCAAAATTCGTGGATGGAATTTCGAAGGCAACATTTGCAGGTGGAAACACCGGCAGCGTGCAGATCGTCGAAGGCAACATTCGCGGGTGAAATCGGGATGTCCGGAATTTCGGGCGTCCGAGAATTCGGCGTCAGCTGTAATAACATTGTGATTATGACTAGTAAAATCTCAGATGTTAATAATGACATTGCTGCATGCAGTCCAAGCTTGATGCGATAAAATTTCAAATGTAACAAAGTGAATCTACTCTGAAAGCGGCTTCTACTTGGCGAAACCTTCGTGCATCGCTTGCAATTAATGACATGGTGCAACAATAACATGGTCCCTTGCAAATAGTGAAAGGTTGACATAGTTGCAGGAAAAGATCTTTTTCATGTAAGCTTTTGCATGGAAGTGTTGCCATCAGACACCAAGAAACTCCATTTAGCAACTAATGGAGTGCACAGCCATGTCAGCCAAAGCTACAAAGTCTGGCCTACCATAATTTAGGAGTTCGGTGTGATGCGTATACGATAATCTTTGTAGTTTTCAGATATGATGAAAACTTCGGACAAACATGCAAGTAAGGCTTTATTGCCGCAATGTCATGAAAATAAGTGTGCGTGCACGTATGTTTTCACGTGCGTGCTTTCGTTTACCCTGATGTACGTGTTGATTCATGTAGTCGTCGTAGCTAAAAGGTGTTGTTGGGCAATATAAGAAACACATGTGTGATGGGTGAGTTCAAACTAGTATGCAGATATGTTGCAAATATGCAAGCACGGCATGGCGTAAGTTCACTTTGGCTTGTGTGTGGTGTACACCTTAAATAGATTTCTCACGGAGAGGAGGAACACGACCTAAAACCGGTGCATTTTCTTTTTTGTCTCCCTCTCTCTACCATGTATCTGGCCATCCAGCGTTTTGCATTGCACAATGCTTGAGGGGTTAAAAAATCAAATTGGTGGATGAAAACCGGTCGGCAAACTGCCACTGCACTTTGTTAGGCTGTAATAACTATCCCAAGTGTAAAAGACTGGCAGCTGAGACTTGTAAAGTGCACCTTCCTTCTAAATGACTTTGCATGCCACACTTTTTCGTACAGTCAATTTTTCATAAGTAGTGCCTGTACTTGTATCCATTTGTTCGTCATACCAGTTCCGATTCTGCTTGGTTACTGGTACACCTAATTATTTGCACTTAAGAGGAGCATTGTCAAAGCTGGAAGATAAGAGAGGAGCGCAGACTCTGCTCGTCTAGAAGGGACACATCTTGCAACGTCGCTTCATCTTTCGCAGATCGTTTGCCAGGTGGTGCTGGAAAGTGGATGGGGAGGGGGACGGGGGACTCTATCCGTCGTTGCCAACGGCACGAACGTGCGCTTGGTCGCGTTCATGGGTCTGGTCGCCTATCCGTTTTGTTGTCTGCTCTACGCATGCCTTACGTCTTCTACCAAATATTTTCTCTAAAGAGCATGACAATTGAAGTTTGCGGATCGACGCTATGGGAAGAAATAACCCAAATGTATCATTTTACTTCTTTGATTCGAAACAAGCCAAACGCCTGACATCTTTAACGGGGACCACACAGAATTTTGAATTATACAATGCCACTACAATGTACACAAATAAAATATATGCGTAAACTTAATACATGAGGTAACATCGCAAAAAGAGAGCGATCTCGGCACAGAGAGTCTATGTTGTCTTTTGTAGGATTACAGCGTCTTGCACCTCTTTCTGCCGCGCATTGTTCGTTAGAAGGCACATTTAAGCTGCTATCTTTTCTTTGATTCTTGCCAGGCAACCAACTGAAAGAGTCCTCTCCTAGGCAAGGCGGAGAATTTTCATTATCCGGGCAAAGAAAGGTGCTCACTCTGTATGCGGTTGTAGACAAATCAATGCCCTCTCGCTCTTCGGCACCGGTGTTTGTTGGTTCCTCCTGATATTCAGCGTCATTGAGTTGAGCCATGCTTACCCCATGCTTACCCCAAAGATGGGGTAAGCATGGCTTGTTTCCTTTGTTTTCACTGAAGTACCTATCAAAGATGAGGTGCTTCTCGGAAATGTCGAGCACATATTTTGTCCTTCAATTTAAGGAGTCGCATACGTTTTTTTTTTAAGCCACTCATCTAGTATCAGCGGATCAGATGAGGCCGTGAAGAAGCTTTTCCCATCTTTTGCCATAATCAGATTTTAGCCGGGAACAAAACTCTTCATTTCCCTCTGTTCGGTTATTTCACATCCTCACGCACAAATACGAAGGTATCTCATCCCTTCAAGCATGAATAAGCATATTCAAGACATTTTAAACAAAGCGTGTAATACGAAAATGTCCGGCCAACATTGCCACTCAGGCGTCCAAGCGTGGAAAAGAAACGTACGTCTGCTGTGCCTTTCTTCTTCAGCCAACTTTTTCGTCTGCTTTGTTTAAAGATCTGTAACAGTGTTTCGCATAACTGTAAAAAAGCGCTATGTAGATTTTATGTTGTATTATGAGTATACATATGTGACATATGAAGCGATGGTTTAGAAGCCGATGAAGAAGAAGTCAGAATGGAATAAACATGGCGCATGAGCTAGGCCACGTCTCCCATTCATCATAGTGTCACACAAGCCGACAGGATGAAGACGGCCAGCCCCTTCATCAGTCGCTCATCATCTACGCAGTCCTCCGCATGACACCCTGAGCATACATGGACTACCGTACAAGCGCCTAGACGCATCGACGAGCATCATGTCAGAAGCATCTACTGACCTTCCCATCCCCAAGTACACCGGAGCAGTGGACGATGGACTCGTACAAGACTGGTTCGACTTGTTCGAGTTCCACGCTATTGCT